TCCTGCTGGATCACGAGCCTTGGGGCCCTTTGGGACCAGAGCCCCGGAGATCCCAGGCTCTGTTGGGCTGCTCCAAGGCCAGCTCACTATGCCCTGCCCACAGCGGGCTGCCAGGTTTCTGCCGGTGCTCGAGGGAGCAGAAAGAGGGGCTCCCTCTTTTCTCCAGTAAAGTCCAGTAAAGTGCAGCTCCGTCCCATCACCCCCATCCCAGAGCTGGCCCCCCACTAACCTTTGGCTGCCGTGAGCATGGTGGAGGCCAGCTCGCACTGCTGTGACTCCAGGTGCCCCAGGGTGAACCAGCGCGGGTATCTGCTAGGGACCACCGAGACCAGGTGGTGGGGGTGAGTCACGTCGCCGGATGGTGCCGTGGTCTCCAGGACAGGCAACCTGAAGGGTAAATGGGAGGAGGCAACATCAGACCTCACCACAGCAGCCCCAGCCCAGCCCCGGTTTCGTCTCCTCTCCCCAAGGCGCTGGCGAGGCGAGGCAGGGGCTGCCTGCAGGCAGCTGCCCGCAGCGCTGCCTTTGAAAGCATCCTGCTGCCGTGCACGTGTGGGGGCTCCCGAGGCTGCGTGCTCAACACATGGGCACGGGGATCAATCTGAGACCAACTTGAAAGGGGGAGAATGATCCATGAAGTGATTTATAAACTTGTAAGGAAAAGCACAAGTCTCAGGGAAAGAAGGAAAAAAAAAGAAACAAAGCTAAATCCGTCCTCCCTCCCCACTCCTTTCATGTCAGAGCGCCCAGCAGAACTCCTGGCTTTATCATCTGGTTCTTCTTAAAACACCCAGTTATGATCAGAAGCAGCGGCACATTTCCCCAGGGCCTCTGCAGCCGGTTTGGATTACCTGCTTGTGTGGGGATATCCAAAAGCCTGGAAAACCCAGGGGACAAGAAAGCCTAAGGAAGGGGAGCAGGAGCCTCACGTGACCAGCCATGGCGACAAAACCATGTTGGCTCTTAAACCCCTGAGTTGGTGGTGGTGTCACTAACTCGGTGGCCAGCCATGGCGTGCAGGAGGGAAATTGTCCCCCTGGACATGGAGAGCATCCAACCATCTCTGCTCTCCTCACTCGCAGGCTTGGGCTACCCACGGGGCAGCAGAAGCCCAACCTCCCCAGCCCCAGTCAAAGACACCCTGACACAGGGGGTCCCAGCTGGGAGCAGGGGACGGGCACAGACACAGATAGAGAGGGACCAACATGCACGTGCACCCCCAGGGCACTCGGTCCTGTTCCTGCTCGGTGGCTGGAGGTCTTAATCTGGTGGGGCGTGGTGTCCCCATGCACTGCAGAGGCCCTTGGCTGCTCTTTTACGTCTGGGTGC